TCATTGATTTCACTTTGATTCCTCGTCTCTTCTCCTCCTCTATATAAACGACGCCGCGCGCGCGGGCTCGCCGCGGCGGCCATGGAGGAGTTCCAAGAAGCCGACGTCCTCTGGCCGGACCACCACCAGCACCTCCGCCGCGACGACGACGCCCGCCGCCGCCGCCACCAGGAGCAGCAGCATGGTGGCGTGGACGACGCCGACGACTCGCGTGGCGGCACTGGCACGCCGTCGGCGCCCGTGGGCATCCCGGTGACAAGGGCGCCGACGACGCGGAGGATCAGCCACGGGAGCACGGCGCCGGCGGCGGCGTTCGTGCCGCCGCACGAGCTGGTGGCGGCGAGGGCGCGGCGGTGCTCGGAGGAGAGGGCGGCGTTCTCGGTGTGCGTGGGGAACGGGCGCACGCTCAAGGGCCGCGACCTCCGCGACGTCCGCACCGCCGTGCTCCGCATGACCGGCTTCCTCGAGACCTGATCGAACACCTCGCGACTCTTCTTCTCTTCTTTTCTGTTCTTTCTTCTTTTTTGAAAGAACTCCTGAACCGCGCGTGACTAGCTAGCTTGCCTATGAATTTGTGCTTAGTTTACCTATGTAATTCTAGCGAAAATTAATCTGGACTTTCCAAAGTTTGCTAAAGAACGATGAACCGCGAACGAATTCGCGACCAATTCTCATTTCTCAGAAGGCGTCTTAATTTAATTTGTCAGAAAAATGAGATGAATTCTTAGCTTGGTCAGTCCTCTCAGCGACTGCGACACTGCCCAAATGGTTCCAAAACGCCGCGTCAGATGTACTGTGTTGACAAGAGCATTTCTTTTTAAAATTTCCTGTCTTCGTCTAATCTTTTGTACGTTACTCAAGTGGTTTCGTGATCTGCTCAGCTGTATCCTGCAGAAAGTCTACGTGATGCACCATTTGTTTTTTTTTATTTGCGCACGGCTAGCATGATTAGTCGCATGTATATACTCTTTTGTCCAAGAGTTTTTATTGGATAAAACACATAGTACTACGAATCTAGATTGTCTATTCAGATTTGTAATACTACGATGTATTTTATTTAATCAAAATTTTTTATATTTTAGAACGAAAAAAAGTACCTTCCAATGATGGCCAAATTTTTTGCGATTAGAGAGGGGGAGACGTGTGAAGTGTAGAGACTTGGGGAGCGATCTAATCCTTGTCCTGATCATCATCAGTCGGCACCTGGTTACGTAGGCAATCTATGTGCTGATTAGCTCCTGAATCCTAAAATTAGTTAACCGGTGGGCTGAAATGAAGCATCTCACTAGCTACGCCATGGCGTACCATTCCGGAAATTAACTTCTCGTTAAATATGAAACTGAAGCATCATCACTACATCATGACTGGCAGGGACAAATTGCCATCAAAATTTCCTTTCTACCGCTGGTTGGTTATTCTAAATGTTGGGTCATGATGTCGTAGTGAATAAGCACTAGTGCATGGTTGGGTAGCTTCTGAACTTTTTGTCCTACCTTTCTCAAGCAAATGCGTGTCATGTATGTTGGATGAGGAGGCAGAAAAATCATACAAAAGCAAATTAAAAGTTCATGTATCACTCACGCGCTCCATTATAAACTGTAACTGTAGTTGGCCAGTTGATTTGTGTGTCGTAGGTCTTGGTGAATACTACGGTCGTTTCCACTTTCCACTGCCGCCAATGGCTTCGCTGTGCTTAAAAAACTTAACATGCGCTGGATGTCATTGTTGGCAATCACTTCCCTCCCCGTCAAGATAAGATCAAATCAAAAGGATTCACCAAGATGTTACAGATCTGTATTGGTTAAATATATATTACCTTTATATTTAATATATAACACCGTTAACTTTATAAATTATGTTTGATCATTCATATTATAAAAAATAATTTAAGTATATATATATATATATATATATATATATATATATATATATATATATATATATATATATATATATATATATTGTTGTGGTGGCTTGATTTATCACAACTTAAGTAAATTAAGTAAACATTTTAGCGTTACTTATATTTTTAATATTAGTACAAAATTTTCGAATTATAAGATGAATAGTCGAAGGTTATAATAAAAGTTAACAGTGTCACATATTAAAAAATGGAAAGAGTAATAACTTATCTGTGTTGCATCTGTCAAAAATATTATACTCAACGCATTGTAGGATAAGCTCAATGAAAAGAGAGAGAGAAAGAAAAAAAACTATAGTATTTAATCATGGGTATAATACTTTATGCATGAAGAGCTAAAGATCCTCACTCCCCAAAACAGGAAAAAACAACAGGAACTATAAGTTGACATGTTATATCTGGTATTGTGATTTAAGGCCATAATTCGAAGGCCTAAAGTGAACTTAGTCCTATTTCCCTGAGCTAGTAGCCCAGTGAATCCGTCGTTGCAGTCTGGTTTCACTGGGCCTCGTACACGGGCACTCCGCTCAGCACGGGCCAGCGCTCGCCGAAATCCACGCGACGCGAGCCCAGATTTCCTCGTGGCCTCGCCTCGTTTTCGCGCACGGTTCGGCCCAACAACACCCGCGACGCCGACGTCCTGGGCCGCGAGGGGTGAGGAGACCATGGGCATGGCCCAGGCGCCTTGCGGTGGCCGGTGGCCTTCTCATGGGCCGTCGCCTTCTCGTCATTGAATTTTTTTTATTTATACATTTTTTTATTAAAATATTTAAAAAATAATTTTTTTTTGAAAATTTACAAATCTAATCGCCTGCCGCCCTTTGGGAGGGCGATTTTTACAGAGGGCGGCCAGGGACCTAAATACAAATTTTTCAGCACAACTTGTTAGCTATATGATTTTACAATTTAAAATTATATTATATAAAATCAGATGAAATAAAACTTTATATCAAAATTGTAGATTTCAAGGATATCTACAACTTTGTAGTTAACAACTTTTTCATTTAAGATGTTTTAGATATCCAAATATTCGTTACAATATATAAAACACATTTTAAAAAAATCTCAGATCAACATTTCAAACGACATTTGATGGAGATAAACTTTATATAAAAGTTGTAGATCTTGATGAGATCTATAACTTTGTAGTTTATCAGTTTTCCATTTAAAATCATTTAGAGTATCGAATAAGCATTATTAGTTTTTAAGCAATTAAAACTGATGAAAAGGGTTTAAACACAAATAAAAATTTTGCATTTAGGTCCCTGCCGCCCTCGCCCTTCTTGAGAGCGGCACGCGATTAGATTTGTAAATTTTTAAAACAAAAAATTATTTTTGTAAATATTTCAATAAAAAAATGTATAAATAAAAAAAATTCCTCGTCATTCACCGCCGACCGCTCTGCAAGAGAGCCGAGCCGACAGATCATCGGAGGCGGCGGCGGCGGCGGCGGCGGAGGCATCTGCTCGCGCGGTGAGTTCCCCCAAATCTCTCCGTATCACGCCCGGTTTCTTTTGTATCTTTTGGTGATTGTAATTATCATCTGTAATACTAACACTTATCGAAGAGAAAAAAACAAGTTCGTTCTGGCCAAATCAGTAGAAGTGAAAAATGGTAACTTCAGAAAAATCGAATGAGAAAGTCTTCTCTAATTTTAATTTTTTAGGGCTTGTGCCATCGCCTGGGCTTGGATTAAAACACATAAGCATATAAATACCATGGACTGCCTTTGTTTGCCTTGAGCATTATGTTGGGTGGTGAGACAGCAAATGACAAGCTCTTCCTCCATATCATGGCAGTGAATCTACTTATTTTGTTATATCCTTTTCGTTATTAGAAAAAACATGTCATTCAACTAACTAGTAGAACAGAAGCATATGATTTTCTAACTGCATTTACTTCGTCATGATGTAGTTTTAGACTATAAATTTGTCACTAAAAGAGTCTAGTTTTAAAGTGGTTCACTAAACATCGTTAATACCACTTTATCATTTTCTTCTCATTTTTAATCAACGAGCCAATAATACATCTTGTCCTTCTCTTTTTCCCTATAGTTTTCTCTCCGTATTAATGAAGAACACATTAGTCTTTTACGGAGTAAACATCTTACTTAATGTCTTTGACTAGCTAAAATTATTATCTTTTAAGAGACAGATGGAGTATAAAAGATTTGTTCCATTTGTGCATTCGTATACAATTTACCCCTTTTAACATGCCGTTAAATTATGCGCTTGTTAAATAGGACATGATACCTAACATAGAGACGTGTGATCTGAAGGTGGCCTTGTTCACTTGTAGTAATCCTGAAATCATCTGTGACACAGGCTTGGCTCCCTGTTTGGTGAAAACCGGAATGGTGCTGCCTCTGAATGAAGTTGAATTGTCTTCGCTCCATTGAACCAAACCATACGACTACATGTACCATTCAAGCTGTCAATATAGTTGAATCCATACGCCATTGTAGAAACTAGAAAGTAGAAACCAATATATGTCCTTTGCTCAGGGAATGTCTCTCAGGAAATGGATGCCTAGCTTATTCAGCCCCTCTCTTGGTCCCAGGTTCTGATGGTCCTACCTCTTTTTTGTCAATGGGTGGTGGTGAGTCCCTATTCCACAAATGTCACAAGAAATGGAATTCACTTCTCTCGTGAGCTGCCCTTGGGACAACTTGAGCCAAAAAGGGCGTCTTTTTCACTCCATCTATGGCACGGTAAGTCCTCATCACGCATCAAATTTGTTTGACAAAAGATGAAGTAAAAATTTCCAACTTGTGGCATCCGATTTTATCATCATACGTCATAGTAGTAGCCAGGACAGCTTCAGGCGAACGGCGTGCCACTCCATTACTACGGGGGTACACATGCTGCTTTAACTGCTCTTTTTTTGGCATGTAGAATTGTAGAAACAATCAGCAGCATTGGATTCTTCAGTGCTAGATGGATAGCGAGGTCGGGACTCGTGAGCCGGTGAATCTATAGCAGCATGCAGCTGTTGGAATAGAGTGAGATCATAGCTGAAAGAAGAACCTGGTGCTAGATATTTTTTTTTGGTCGTCAGAAAGGCATCTGGTTCTGGTCCTCCACCTGCATGGTCCAATGAGAGAGGAAGAACGAGAACCAAAAAAAAAATCAAGTCAATAAATCCATAGATGCATGATAGGTGAGCTTCACAAGAACACACACTATCCTGGAGACGCAAGAAAGTGAAGGATGAGGATGGGTACAGCAAAAAACCGTGTGCAGTCCACTACAGGCACGATGCTTTCTCTCTACGCTTTGGCTGCCAATTTGCTTAGCCCACTGAGAATTTCCATTGCCAATTGGCACCAAATTCAGACTGTTCAGGCAGTACAGACGACAAGAGAAACAGTGTGGCAAGCAAGATGAGCAGTGATAGCTAGTGTTCAGAACAAAGGAAATGTTTGTGAGCAGTGATGAGTATCACATACTTGTTGGGAGCTATTGAGAGTCAATGAGAGCTGGCCAGGTAGGCCATCTAATAACTGAAGAGTGTGTGACCGAGCTGAGTGTGGACAGCGAGTGTGGTCCGGATGGAGCAGCCTAGCCAAGGTGCAGGTTAGATGTAGAAATGTGCAACCTGTAGAAATGTGTGGTTGCACAGTTGGTTTCTTGGTGGTCAAAGAAGTTTTAATGGCCCCAAATTAGCTCACAACACCCAAATTATTAGCTCACAACACAAAGGCCAGGCTAATCTCTCCCTTTCCTTTTTCTTGTTCCAAGTGGGAACACCACCATTGGCCTGGTTTTCGACTCATTAGAACTTACGGAATC